ACCGGCAGAGCGCTGACGGAAATCGCTGCTACGTTTGTTCTGGCGTGCACCGACAAGAGTTCTGGTGTTTGTTCGGGTGCTAAATTGTTGGCAGGTCTAGGCGGGAAATTATCACAAGCATCGATTGTAGGCTATCGTACAATTGAAACGAAACCGAAGTCTCCTCGTGTCGAGGCAGATCCGAGCGACCATTTTTATGCGAATCTCAAAAAGTTTCCTTTGTTGAATAAATATGGTTTTGAAACTTGACTGATGCTGGGCGGGAAACTCGTGGCTTTCATTTTTAAATTTATCTATTCACCAGATCACGACTATCGATCTAACCAAGGTGATGCGAAAAAATTTACGCAATTTTCAAATATTTTATAATTAATTATTTAAACTACCGACACATTTCTTGGGGTGTTTAACCGGCAAAACTAATAACGCTTAATCTCTGAAAATATCTCCGTTAGCAATATGAAGGACTTGATCTGAATTAAGATAAACCTTCACTTCAGCTGTCTCCCATAAAAATCTACAGGGTTCACATTTCGGACCCAGGTGAACCAACACTGATCGCATCAACCCTGTTACGCGGGATCGCTTCCGACAGACGGGATTTCATCACTAAACCTATTAACCCAGCGCAACCGTTGGCTTCACTCTCAGGACTACACTAAAATTGGCAGGTAGTAGCCTATTCTTTCGATTCGAAACCCAAACCATCATGTTTACTTCAAGACAATTCCGGCTGCAAAGGGAGGGATGAATTGAAACACAAGAGGAATAAAGAAAATTTAAGTGAATACTATGTACAGTTTAGCTTCTCGTGAGAACCCCTAAAGAAAAGAAGACCTTAGCGCTACCGAACCAAAAGCTGGTCACTCACAGAATGACTAACGCGCTCTTTGTAACAATTTCAGCTGAGAAATATTTTGTTGTGCACTTGAAATTACCAAAATGATGTCTCTTTTAAATCAGATAATAGAAGAAAAAAAAAGAAAAAGATACTAAAGATAACGTAACGGTCTAATACGTTATCCTAGACGATTCGAATACTTTTCTAATGAATAAAAAGCAATTACAGATCGAAAAGCGCATTTTTACACCAACTCGGAAGATACCACATACATAACTAATAACTAAAAGACTTTCCTAATTCTCACTATACACTAAAATAGAATTTAAATCAATTAATTTTGAAGTAATTCGGGGAAAAAAGTAACAAAACAAGATTTCGATGTTTCAAAGCCAAATTTCATGACAAACAATTCGGTTCGCTTACAAACCAGTTCAATTTGTGGAAGTTATGCAGATACATGACATGTATTTACACGCACAAGCCAATTATATAAAGAGAGCGCAACCCTCGACAGACGTAAACCCATTTCTTGAGTCGATCTGCACAGAGGAGAATATCCTCTCTCGCCGATATCCAGGGAGATCCTAGGGACATCTGCACAGAGGAACATATCCTCTCTCGCGGGTATCCAGGGAAATCCTAGGGACATCTGCACAGAGGAGCATATCCTCTCTCGCCGATATCCAGGGAAATCCTAGGGACATCTGCACAGAGGAGCATTAGGAGAATATCCTCTCTCGTGGATATCCAGGGAAATCCTAGGGACAGCTGCACAGAGGAGAATATCCTCTCTCGTGGATATCCAGGGAAATCCTAGGGACAGCTGCACAGAGGAGCATATCCTCTCTCGCGGGTATCCAGGGAAATCCTAGGGACATCTGCACAGAGGAGCATATCCTCTCTCGCGGATATCCATGGAGATCCTCTGCTCGGGATATCTGCGCGGCGTAAAATATCCTCTCGACAGTCCCTCGTCACCAATAACAAAAACGACCGCAAGCAAGACACGATCCATAAAGCAGAAAGACAATATTTTACAAGTTGAGTGGCAAATTATTCTATAAGCTGATCACAAAAAAATGCATTGAAAACACCCTTCATTGACACCAGGCGAAAAAATAGTAAAAACAGTTTGAAAACTGATGACATTTGGTAAAAAATAAGTCGTCAGTGCGGAAATAAAAATTTACTTAAATCATGAAATTAATGAAGTAGCATTGAAAAAAAAAATTCAAGCCCATGAAGAAAAACTTTATTGAATTTCAAACCAGAGTCTGGACAGAACAAAAAATCTAAGCAATGAGACGAGCGGTGCACAGACACAGCCGTCTGTTGTGTGAACGCAGGTAATTCTAAAACATTTTTTTTTTGCTAATGTGGTTCCCAAACTTGGCCAAATTAGTCCAAAAAAGTATATAATATGTCAATTTTTCGGAGAAATTGGAGTGAAAAATATTTTATTTGCTTAACGGGGTTAATAAGGGTAACAGATTTATGGTGGAAGGCCGGGTTAGGTAAAGAGTAGAAGAGTTCGGTAACCACTGCCTTACACTAATGATAGGCCGCGCGCCCGACTAACACTCAACTGGTGCGAGGAATCCGAAGCCCTCTACACGACATCCATAACATCACTAAAGTTAATACATAAAATTTACACACAATATCGCCTTATCAGGACAACATATCCCAAGAATGATATATAATACGAGCGCAGAAATAGTTAATCTTCGAATTGATACACATCTTTATCTAAATTCTCTTTCAATGACAGAAAAAAACTCTTAGCTTTTCCAGGTCAAAATATAAGCACTCGCTGCCCAGTTCCTACGCGCATTAAAGCTCAAAAGACTGCAAAAGAATACTGTATTTTGGCATTACAATCAAATAATTACAGGATTCATTTAGAATTTACCAATTTTCTTCATTCACAATAAATAACTCTTTTACGTCAACAGATAAAGTTCTGAAAAGACACAAAAATATTAATTGCCTTCCAAGATTATATTCGTGAGTAAGTCTCGAAAATGAACCTTCGAGGAACTAATACAAAGATCGAGGTATGCTCGGTCCCCGGTGAAGCACACATGAGAAACGAGAGAAGCGAGAACCAGTAGACCAGACCGCACAAATGTCTATTTTCATTACAATAATCGTGACTATTACCTTTATAGTCTCAAATACGGCTTCTTACGTTAGACATTTCTAAAGCTTCGAAAGCATCGACAAAATTGAGCTAAAATAATTCTGAAGAGTAAAATTAAAGTGCCATATTTTCCAATAGAAATAGTGCCCAGGTAACTAAGAAATTAAGGTGTCACATTTTCCCACTATAGAAGGTACGCAGATTAAGAATAAATTAAATTGCCATATTTATTCACCAAAGAAGATGCGTAGGTCATGAATAAATAGAGGTGTCATATTATCTCTCTAAAGATGATGGGCAGATTAAGAATATATTACGAGTCATTTGGCAGTACTCACATGGCACACGCAAGCTGGCAGTGCTCAAGTCGGTCTGGTAGCGACCAGCTCAATATTCCTTGCATAGAACATCGAACCTAAAACATATTTGCGCATGCACCTTCATTTCAAATATCGTCTTGAAACCTTTTAGTTTTGATACGGTCAAGTTGATGGCTAAAAAGCTACGCATTCTGCGATAACTTCTTTCAAAACAGATTTATTAGGAGTGTGCACATAAAATACCTTACAGCGAATACTTAGTCACCAAGCCGTAAAATTCTGAGGGGTACGATGTCATCACAAGTTTTGCCTGCACGCAATGAATATGAATCAGAATTATAATGGAAGAGGTCGCAACACGCTCACTATGAGATGGGGATTGTGCAGCAGTCGTCACAATTGTAACAAATGTTCTGACAACTATACAATAAACGACCGGCTGTGCGAGGTCCCTGTTAGATCCTAACGCGAGATGAAAGGCAAAGTTAATATGGATTGATGTCATTAAGTGACGGCGGACATTTCTTTGAATTAAAAGACCCATCTTGAGACTGTTCAATTATTTCAAGCTCAACGAGCAATGAGCAGGTAAAATTATTGTTTTGCCTTGCGTCGAAGATTGTCAGTTTATGATAGATAGATCCAAAGATAAACTATCGAATGTAGTCACTAACAGAAGTTGAAGGCCGAACATGTGTGAGTCTTCTGAAGATGGAAGTAATGAGCCTGAACTTGAGATCATCCACAGGGTGCCACGGCTGCCGTGAGGTGGAAGCAACGCGCTCGAGTATTCTCTAATCAACCAAACTTTGACGGCTAAAAATATAATATAAATTAAAACAATAGTATTTTTTCAACACATACACATTTTTCCTTCAATTCTAACAAAAAAACACTCAAATAAAATATAAAGTAAAATCGTATCTAAAAAGAACTGAAGAAGTAAAGTGGCGCATCAACGAGTAAAATTTTTTACATCTAAGAAACAAGAAGGCTTGAAATTGTTAACTCCGGTAGACTGTGAGTAAAAAGTCCCTCGACGAAAAAAGTCAATAAATTACGAGAAAAATCGTATGCAAGAAATGAAGATAAATAAAGAATTAGGCTTCGTTTGAGCTATAATAACCTAGTCAATAAATAGCCATGGACGCGCCTGGCACAGCGTCGAGTGACGCTCATGAAGTAATATGAACGTCACGCTGATCAGCACCCTATGAGCAGGGTTCTCGTCCAGCAGACACAAGACACGCTACGCTGCACATCACTAGAGTTTGTTCGTCGCATAAATACAAGGAGTCTTTGTCTTTAAATCCTACACAAAGATTAAGCAGCACACGCGCCAGCTACAGACAGCATTCGAACTCGCAGCAATGAGGAAACCGTAATCTTGATTACAAATTTAAGCGATTAAGATCAAGTTTTAGGATTTCTGCGGAAATATGGAACGCATGCCAAAAAATATTGGGTGTTAACTGTGCTTGTCAAGTAGGTACTGATATAAAAACATATCCCAGTTTTGGGATTTTAGTTTGATACGGGATATCTCGATCGCTGCACGGTGCTGGTGTACACAAAGGCAAGTGTTCACAGACTCGCCATGTTACAAGGCAGATCTAATGATACATTGCATCAATTTATTTAATCATCTTCATCACGGGAATTGCGGTAAAACGGAGAATTGCGCATGAAGGCGGGCGGGTAGCCGAAACCAAAGGTGCAGTTCCTCGCCTTCCGCCCGATACGAATAATGCGGACTGCACTAGCGCGAAGTCAATGACATGTACAGAATATAATCAAGTCAGGGCCGGACAGTGCATGTTACACATGCACTTCAGTGCCCGGCCGGCGACGCATGGTAGGTGCAGCAGAGATTCCCCACACAGCCATGCGGGACAATAATGACATAAGTGGTACATTTAATAGGTTCGTAAAGAAGAAGGTATTCAAAGGCATCAATTGTTGTGGAGACGAGCAGCGGACGACGTCAGCATCGTCCATGGATGGCGGATGACAAAATGAAGATGTGGATGCGGGCGGGAGCCGAGAACGTGGATGCAGAGGTCGTTCGGATCCACCAGACGTCCGTTGACAAAGCAGAAGAATTATAAAGAAAAAAGAAAATTACTATATGGGTACGCAGAAATATTCTGAAAAATGCTGCTGCATAATTCAATTGCAGGTATTTGAGTTGGGAAATAGGCTGCAAAACGGCCATGAGATATTTGAAAATGTTTATAGGTTACCTTATTCTGAAATTTCAAATCTATTTGAAAAGTATTTTTACATCTCAATAAAATACAATTTAATTAATAATATGACAAATAGAATGAACAAATCAGGCCATCATGATCAAACTTAATGTAGAAATTTAATGTAAGGAATAAAATGTAGTGATATAATTAGTATAACGAGACGCTAGTCACACACAGACTACACTTCCAAGCGCTAAGCACTTTACTGCAATATTTAATTGCTACATCGCTGTCGAAATTCAGGAAATCTTTAACAAATGTGCAAGCGCAATAATATCGTGAAATTCATTAATTAGCCATTTTTTTATCAGCACAACACACGATGGTCTGGCTAGAGATTTAAATGCAAAAATTACAAATTTCCTAAATTTTAGAAAGTTTTAAGGCCTTCAAACTTGCGTTAAATTTAAATAAAATGACTGCAACCAGCATGAAACAATGATTTTACTTCGGACTTCACTCATCAAAAATCCCGTAACAGGAGAGAAAATACCAGGGGCCATACTTTCAAAACTCGCTAAGTGAGCGTAAATACTTACGCTCTATTTTCTTGTCCATGATTGGTGGATTTGGCTTGAATGGCCGTCAATGATTGGCTAATGAACTTACGATGTCTTAACTTTTTTTGAAAGTATAGGCCCTGTTCACTGATATTCATGTGATTTGACAACGACATAGCATGTCCTGTAAGTGGTCACTAAATTGTTAGTCTACGTACGACAGACACAAGCGCAGACGCCGCGCCACTCGGCGGAGGAGTGACGAACAAGTTACTTGTCGCTTCCAGAGCGCAACTTGCGCACTGTGTGCATCACACCGTTGTTGCGTGGGGATTACAGAGGTAACAACACGAGTGTTGCGCAGGGTATACAGAGGCAACAACACGAGTGTTGCGCAGGGGTTACGGAGGTAACAACACGAGTGTTGCGCAGGGGTTACGGAGGTAACAACACGAGTGTTGGGCGGAGAAGTATGGCCACAACAAGAGGGTTAGTCGAGGTGTTACCCCGTCGGAGTAACACGGATGTTAGAGAGTCACGAAGATTAACATCGGTGTTACACGGCATCAAACACCGCGCGGAGACACGCCCGAGCCCTCAAACATGGTTGCACAAGCCACAGCAGCACACAGGGAAAGGGAGAAAAACAAATGTTAATTAGTTAATTATTGATAATGTTTTCTTCAACACAAGTTATAATCTACAATGGATTACGCATTTCACGACTAACTTATTACAAGCCGTATCGTGAAGATATTAGGATACACACATCAACAATTACAGTACACACGTTACTAGAGATGAGCTGTAATAAGAGCCCGCTGTAAATTGAGAGGATATGTTAGAAGACTGCAAAACTACAAGCAGCCTCTTCAAGACACGCAACGTTTTAATGCGACAGGGCAGCAATGCAGAGCCTGCAAGCAGACGGATCATTAGACACGCCGAAAATTCCAAAACACGATATTGGTTAAGAATTAGCAATTTCATGCAAGGAGTCGTCAGCTTGAAGTATGATAATCAATCTTCAATTTGTTAGTAACGAACTATGCAAAATTAAAGCAAATGCCTGGTATAAATTTTTGGAAGAATGAGGAAGGTCTGTCAGTACAATATTACAATATGGCTAGAAATGAAATTGATAAGGAAAAAGTGCGAGTTAATAATTTTTAAATAAAGTCAACTCGCAACGCAGCACAATATTTGGTCCAAACATTGATATTAGTAAGAACATTGATTATACATAATAAACGTCGTTGAAATGATACACGATCGACTTAATCATACGCGTAGTAATGTAACAAATAAATAATTCAAGTTGAACAAATTGTTCAGTATTCCCTGTAAAAAAAATCCTGATGGATTCCGGATAATCAAAAAATAAAAAGCCTTTCATGCTGAATAAGCAAATAGATTAGGAGTAATTAAAATAAAGATAAATACAATCCTACACATTGAAGGATTATCATAAGGATTTAATGAATAAATGACATACTTTTCATAAGAAAATGTGTATAAGAACCTGGACTGGAACAAGGAAAGCTTGCAATGTTCCAAATTGTTCGGAGACGAGGAATAAACCTACGGAGTTTTGAGCACAACTTCCAGCAAGTGACTGCAGGTAGAGCAGCTCTAATGCACTCGTAATTTAGACAAGATTACGTCTTGGTGGAAGGCTGGTCTGAACAAATACGATTGAGGCTAAGCAATGAAGTAACAGAGGAGGTGTTCTGCATGCAAGGGATGTCGCTACACTGCCACACGAGCGGTAGGTAGTATCAACGCATGCGGATTAGATTGGTTAGTCGTTGGCAATCATCTAAGTGGAAGAAAATCTTTGGGCAAACAATGCAGCCAAATCTCCATCATGCTGAGCGCGTTTCAAAAACGTTGGAAATTCGCCGTGACAACGTTTGAATTTTCAATTATCTTATAGAGTTCAAAAAAAAAGCAATGCGTCCTTTAACAGTAAAGTGGCTTACTGCCTTTTTCCAGGTTTCAAAAGTCAAAGTTGAACAATAAATATTTGAAAATAGCAAAGAAATTGGTAATTTTAGAGGGAATGAAGACAAGCAACGCAACTAATAATCCGCAACATAATATCGAAACAAAGATGGTATTTTTTTTAATAATTCATCTAAACGTTTAGAATGATGAAGACAACATAGTATTTTTTACTTATATGCACATTGAACTCAGAATAAGATGTGTCAAACTCTATTAAAAAGGTCGTGGGGAAAATCTCAGCAGAAAAATAAAACTTAAGAATAATTTCAGCAAAACGAAAAATAGGTTCACACTTTAACAGCGAAGTTACCCATACGATTATCGACAGATGGGCTATGCAGTGCACAAATTACACAGTAAAACAACTAAGATTAAAACCCATAACCAAAGGCAATAAAATATGGAAGGGCCAATTAATACTTCTAGACAACACGGGTCTTCATGAAGCACCTTTACCAGTTCAGTTTTGTTTCCTTATTTAATTGCCACTAACAAACGAGTAAATTTATGCAAAGGCACTCAAACGCATGATTTTATGGTATGTGATTTTTACTCGTCGATTTCCGTCATGTTCTGCCTTGCGACGTATGTTCTTCTAGATAATGTTACCTGCAAACCGATAGCATGAGACAGAACCACTCCTTAATATTATGATTTTTATGCAAGATATTTAGTCTCCTAAATATTTCAAAATTGAAAAACAAAATATGGAGACAACAAATGCATGGCGATTACGACTAGCGAATAATTTTCTTAGGCTAACAATTAACTTATCTATATTGATGCCATCAGGCAAGCTATCTTATTCCTATTTACGCTAATAATTTACAAATTGAAACTAAGGCGCAAGGAAGAACAACGGAAGTGGGCGTGTGGACGTAGTGAGGTAAAGTCGTCACAAGAGGCCATACTTTCAAAGTTTGCTAAGTGAACGTAAGTATTTACGCGCTATTTTCTTGTCTATGATTGGTGGATTTTGCTTGGAAGGCCGTCAATGATTGGCTGATGAACTTACGATCTCTTAACTTTTTTTGAAAGTACAGGCCAAGGCCTCCACAGGCGTACCTGCGAAGCCACGTTCAGACGAAGGTGCAACTGCAGCCAAAATCTGTTCCAGCACCAGCGCTTTTCAAGTCCAGCACACCTCTGATGGTTTGTTTGCAAATTCGTGCGATGGCAATGTAGTGTTTCAAGTATAACTATATCTTTATCCATTTGCTCACTGATTACATGTTTCTTCGTACAAATACGATTCGATTCGTTCAGGGTTTCCTTTCACACCAATTGATATAGTGCAAACATTAAATCGTTCAACACTTCAAATTTTCGAGTCACGCGTACACAATATAGACACCACATCTCGCACTCTTTTATTAACAGAACACATTTAAGCCACCGTATGATACATTAGCTACCGTGCCCCGGAGGTCGAGGCGATGTGGTCTCCTCGGGATATTGAGTTATTCCTCTTGACTGCGACACGATGCATGGCATGCATGAGCCTTGTATGGTACCGATGATACGAGGCAGTGAGGTCGAGAACATGCAATTCAGTGGTTGTCCAATTAGAATTACTTCTTATGGCAATTAATCCATTTATACATTTTTGAGAGTTTTAATTTTTATTGACTTAATTCTGCGGCCTTTGTAAGCATTTACAGCATTTGTGGACAGGACAGAATACCAATTTAAGCACGTAAAATTTAGTTACAAGGTGAAAACGTTTGGCAGCCACTGAGCTAGACTAACAATAAGACACGATGAACTGAAGAGGAGATCGTTACGCGGCTGCGACTTCGTCGCCTTCGTCGGACGAGAAGCCATCTTCGCTGTCGGAGAGCGTGGAGTCCAGGTCCTCAGGCGGGATGCCGGGCGAGTCTTGCAGCTGCTGCTGCTTTATCCTCGCGGGCACCGTAAAGCTAAGACTCGCGCCCTCCGTCGACACCACCGGCCGAGGGCGCCGTGTCTTTAGGCCAATGCGAACTACGACGCACCAATGGCCCCCGTGGCAACGTGAACGTAGGCCAAAAATGCGGAAATGGTCGTTACCGGCAGGTTATGGAGGTTACCATGACCGGCAGTTGCGTAGGTGGTTCCCGCATTGACGAACTTTCAGATTACCGTCGTTTGATGAGGTTACAGATGTGATGTTGATGATCGCATATTTGTAACGTTGGCCACTCGAACAGTACGAGCAAATTTGTTTCACTCCCATTGAACGAGTTCGTTTCAAGTGTGGAAAGAGCGTCAGTTTTAACCAGAATGAATCTCGAGAGGCACCATAGAACTCGGAGTAATTCATTTAAGAAGTTCGTGTGTCGGATAGTAAACAAGAAGATATATTTCACGCGTGTCATTATTTTTATCGGCAAAAGTGCGTATATAGTGGGAGTGTGAGTGACGTAGAAGAGTGAGCAGGGCAGTCACGGGTCCCGGCACACGAGGGACAGAGAGTGGGGGGGAAAAAGAATAGATATAGAAGCAGATAAGGAGGCAGTCGGTCAGAGCGATCACACCTAATCGTGACTAAATCATAATATAATAAATTAAACACTGAAAGATAGTTCGGTAAATAAATCACGCTTAAGAGAAATTAAATCAAAATAAACCTAACGAACATCGGAATCGTGTGACAGGAAATAAGGTAAGAAAAAATAAATCACAGTAAACGCAAATAAAAAGAAACAAAAAATAAAAATAACGATGAAACAAAACGCCTCAGCAAATACCGCAACCCAGACCGCATCCACAGAACGCGTCCTCAGGACAAGCTGCTCCTCTAATGCCCCCGTCATCGATAAACCAACAAGAAAATGAGCAAAACAAGCCAAACGTAAACAAGAAATCCTCGACGAAAAGAAAGAAATCATAAGCTTTCCGAAGGATTAGACTCAAAACACCGCCTTCGTAAGGAACATAAAATCAATTGAAGCTCAACAGTTGAATGCGTGACAGGCGAAGACAATGTAACTTGAAAACGTGACAGGCGAAGACAACGTAACCTGAAAGCGTGACAGGCGAAGACAACGTAACCTGAAAGCGTGACAGGCGAAGACAACGTAACCTGAAAGCGTTACCGGCGAAGACAACGTAACATGAAAGCTGAGCAGCGTCGTAGCCAAACACAAGATGAGCGCTGACGAACATAATAATGAATGGGTGAAGCGTGGAAATAATTGAAGATGAAATGATAGACAAAGAAGAAACTTTCGTCAGGCTATTCTTTAGTTCTGCAAGTTCTGTCATAAAATCATTAGGTATTTCTGATAAGATGTCTCGAAAACTTTTGCACGGAAATTTAATCCAGAAATACTAGATCGTGATTGAGAATCCTTGAATGTTAGTTCAATAGAAGCATATGTCAAGTTGAAGTTCTCTAATTATTCGTCGGTAAGAAGCGAAATTTTATTTGTTAGTAGAAACTTCAAGCTTTCTACATTTACTTATCATTCAAGAACCATCCTTCAAGTTCAGAAGCATCTATAAAAGATTTCTTGTGAAATTATGCCAGCAGGCAATGCACAGGTCAAGATTTGGAAGCGTTTGTACAAAATTGAACTATTGGAACACGAACAACAAGCAAAAGTTTAAAATTAGGGCTCAATGAGTTTGTTGTAAGTCTACCGAGAGCAAGAGGTTAAAAGCAACAACATATTGAGTACTGCACTCCCTTAACGCCAAGTCAAGCGTTAGGACGCGAGCGTCTCTTGCAGTAAGAGCATCAAACAACATTAGCATCATCAGATCAAACAAATCCCGGCCTTGTAATTAATTTCGCTGATATTCACATTAGAGAGAATTGATGACTTTGGATGAGAATGAAACATCGCAAATGATTCAGTCTCCAGAAATTGGCGAAACCGAGAACATGTGCCCGAGAAGCACGTGATTCATTGATCAAGATCAAGGTTATTGAGAAACATAAGTGACATGATCTTGACGAGCGAATGTTTTGGAAAATATCAATTCTCTCTGAGTAATAACACTTTCGTACTGAGATCTGTCTGCAAAAGCACTGCTCGCGCAAAATAAGCACTGAATTGAGCGTTACATGAGCAGTAAAATGGAGGCACTTTACCTTGACAACCACGAAGCTCATCGGTGAAGCTTTATTTACACAACGCCTCCAGATTAACTTGTAAATCTTCCCTTGACTAACTTACTAATAAAGTAATCTATGAGCTACGAAAAAGAGAATCTATTATAATGGAGAGCGCGTTCTATTTGTCTTTGGAGCCTCTCCTCCGGACCAGGTCGATGCCTTTCCGTATGAGCGCCATGGCTCTACTGTGGCGGCGCGGCTTGAGGCCAGTGCGGACTGCGGGACAGGCAGTGCATAACACCCAGTGAGTATAGGCTTCTCATATTATCAATCATCAACTCAACAATATCATTGAGTATTCATTGTGGTGGTAAATTAGTTATTGAGGCCGGTGCGGACTGCGGGACAGGCAGTGCATAACACCCAGTGAGTATAGGCTTCTCATATTATCAATCATCAGCTCAACAATATCATCGAGTATTCATTGTGGTGGTAAATTAGTTATTCTGAGACTTGGGCCTCTTAGTGTACAGGGCTCACTGCTGGTACGGGTAGCAAGTGCAAGCAGGTCAATACCGAACAAGTATAGTTTGAAACGAGCCAAATGACTGTCGAAATTTTCCGCGATCTACGTTATGAATTACCTTCTAAAAAATTAATTAAAGTTTCATATGAATAATTATAATTATAATATAGATTAATTAATCAAAGCTCCGAGCCACGGTAAATCATCCGAAGAGAAAGGTGTCCATGAGGCCACAATAAATAACAACAATACGATCATTTGTACCAACTTCGGTAACCAATATTCACCGATTACTTTTAAGAGCACAACATCCCACGAACATAACATGCGTTTTTACGCACTTCATCAAGTTCAGTTCCCCAGGCCTGGTGACGGGAAGAAAAGTGAGCAACGCCACAATAGTGCAGTTAGCCAGCTATACGATGAAGTACTTCGCAACAGTGATGACATGTTAACAAAATTGCAATAATAAGTCCCTCTAGCGCTTTTCACAGTGATACCGACTAGTTATCGACAGTCGTTAGGTATCGACAGTCGTATGGTTAATAACAACATAGAGAAACCTGCATCGTATTGTTGTAATTTTATTTTTTATTTATTTAAATTTATTATAACCTGCCTCGTATTTTTTTGTAATTTTTAACTGGTTATTACGCTTAATGATGAGAAATAGAGTCAGGTAAAGCTAGTCGCCTTCCATTTGTGCGCTAAGTTACAATGAAGTGGACTTTTAAATTCGTTACCTACATGGATATTCTGCATGGATGCCTATATAGAAGAGTTACTCCACGGACACAAACGTCGGACATGATACGTAGACACACAGTGAAACACGCAAACGAGTTGTCAGGGAACTTTCTTATTATCATGAATGTTTGCAGTCAATAAAAGACATAAAGGGTAGCAAGGGAGGGCCGCAATACATAGACATGAGTTTGCAGGTCTCAGCTCATAGATGGTAGTTGACATACATAGCGTCTGTGACGCTATGTAATCTGCAGGAAAACGGCGCCTTACACACAACATTTAATACTGACAACACATAAAATACTGACAGCACATGTAATACTGACAACACGTGAAATGCTGATAACACATGAAATGCTGATAACACATGAAATACTGATAACACATTAAATACTGACAACACAAGAAATACTGAAAATATATTAGTGCTGAAAATACATTAATATTGGAGAGACATTTGTGTTAAGACGCTCACAGCCGATGACGTTCGCTGAACGGCTCTCGGAGGCGGACTACGGTCGACTCCCTAGCAGGCGACGAAGGAAATTAAACTTCTATAAACTTTCTCTGCGCAAGTGAGCAAGCTACAGGGAAGAATTAATACTAACTTTATCAAGGCTTTACCGTAAAGCAGGATAATAATCCTCACAAATGAATTATTCTATAGAAAAAAGCTGAAGTAATGACGACTGTGATTTGAAGCGAAAAAAAATTGGGTTATAAGCAACCAATGGCGACAAACAAATTATTAGTTAACATTCGATATCAAAACTAGGTTTACCCATAAAATTTAATGCACTTTCGAAAACCCAAGTTTTGCAACTTGCAGGTATACAGGAAAATGTTCGATATGAAATTGGAAAGTTATGTTCATGGCACGAGCTTCGAAGCATCATGAGTAACCATCGCAAACGAACCTTTGATCAAACCAATGAATCCCACCCTATGTCTCGACGGAACGAGCACAGCGCTGGTGACGTAGAGAGGAGCTACATAGACTACACGATAAGAACTTCATGAAACGTAGCACACAAGTGGATAGACCGAGTAACCAACGGAGGACTGCAGGTAAACAAACAGAAATTAAATCAAGATAAACAAGATGACCGAGGAAGAATTCGACCAGATTTTTCAAATCAAAAGCCATAAGCTTTCCTTAAAACTCAGCAAACGACATCGAATTCGAGAGCATCAAAACAAAACAAAAATACTAAGCAAAAAATATATTATAATATTAAAAGTTGCTTATTTATAATTCATGAAAAATATCAATACATACAACAGAAAGAAAAAGAATAACAAAAAATAAATGAAGTAAAGAAAAGTTACTTCTTCACAAGACATGAAAAATTTCAAAATATTCAAGAATGTATTTCACAAACTGCAAGTGATAACTCATGATGAAGCAAATAAAAACCTAAAATTATCAATAATAATAAAAAAAACATAATAGAGGAACATTTTAAAGGGTCAAAATAATGGATGAATCGGGGTAGCAATAAGTAAAATATAAATATAAATAATATAAAATCTACATAATGCTATGAAAGGTGACATAGAAGTCCTGTATAAGATACGATGCGATCTCACCCCTACTCACACGTAAACAGTTCTCATGCATTTCCCACGATCTTCTCACACTTTATATAAACTTTATATTCAATACACGTACAAGGCATTCTTCAAACCTCTTCCGTTCATTTTGCACACTTATCCACATTGTAAACATCCATACAATTAATAAAATTTTTCATATTTTTTTATCAACCATGCATTTTCGTTACCATCAGGACATCACCAACATCTTATATTGAAGATTTTAACTGACAAAGTCTAGAAAATAAGCTAAAAAGTAAGGTTCAAAAATTTGAATTCGAAAGCAAAATTCTAAGTGTATCTCTGCTCTAGGTCCTGTATGTTATATTGACTGAGTAGGTAGTTAAGGCACCTCAGGACACTTATAAAAACTGCCTAATAAAACCTATGCACACACGTATGAATAGGTACTAATAAATTAAACAATACTAAATCATACATAATTGACACTCGCGACTGCAATGAAGATAAATAAGCATTGGGAAGTGAAGAACAAAGCAGGTTGGCAGCAGGTTACAAGTTAGCATTGAAAGATGAGTCAGTACGATGGTAGCCTGTTTAAGGAGGAGATTACCAGTAATATATGACATTCAAAAGAACGAAACAAGATTTAGTCGGGATAAAAAGTGACGTTATTAATGATTTGCGCTATCAAATAATACGGAGAACTTCTTCACTGAGTGTTTCTGTGCTACGGAGGTTTTAGAACGGACTCAACCGGTAAAAATATTCCGCGAATTAAGATTGGTTAGATATGTATCTTATTGTTGGAAGTTTGCACGCCAAGACGTTTCTTTCAGAATAAGCTAATTTTTCGTGAGACGTAACTAAAAGCCTGCAAATTCCGATTGATAGGACAGTCTGAGAATTTTGTGTGAGATCGAAAACAAACAATGATTAAGTACGAGAGAAGTTCAACTCATAATGCTGCTTGAGTTCAACTCATATTGCTACTTCAGGGAATAAACAACCAAATTTTCAAGCTTTTTCATAAAAACGGTGGAATAATAATATATGATATAAAAAACAATAGGGAACAAAAATTAAAAAATATATTTAACTTTACCCAGACAATATCTTGCAAGACAAGGAGTACCTATACACCTGCTTTCTGATGTCACCGAAAGTACGCGCGAAGCTTTGGTCGAGATCAGTTCACGTGATGACGACAAAAAAGATGTATAGTTTGAGATAGAAAATAAACTCATAAAAGGATTTAAATCACGTGAAATAACAAGAATAAAAAAGGGATGACATATCGAATGAAGGAAATACAGCAAAAGGAATAAAGAATAAAAAAGGGATGACATATCAAACGAAAGAAATACAGCAAAAGGAATAAAGAATAAAAAAGGGATGACATATCAAACGAAGGGAATACAGCAAAAGGAATATAAATAAAGGAATATAAAATAAAACGTCAAATGACAAGGAATATATGGCAAGGAATATGGGGAAGAGCGAGGGTGTGGAGCGAGGGCGACGCTTGGACCAACCTTCCGCCAAAACTACGCCCGAGACGCGGCGCCAGAGACACGGGCAAGTGGGGGAGATGAGAGAGCAGCGTGTGAGTGACAACACTAAGTCCTGCCACAGTATATTGGCTATGCCAGTACTCGTCACGCCAATACTCCGTGCCAATACTTGCCATGCCAATACTTGCTATGCCAATACTCCATGCCAATACTTGCTATGCCAATACTCCATGCCAATAATCGACACGCTAATGAAGAGTAACCTGGGTGCTCCAAAGCGCCATAACTTGACCAAAAATTGGAAAATTGACGAAAAATTCTCCGTAGCGGCCATCGGGCTCGATGATATAAGCCTCGCGCTACGTCAGCAATATAAAAATATTTCATTGACCTATAACTCAGAATTGGTCAAATTAATAGGAAATTATTATTATTGTGATGATTATAAGATAATTGAGCTAGTGAGCAAGGTTTGCTGCGCAAGCGACCACAATTGACGGAGTGGCAGGAGTGGCAGGAGTGGCATAAGTGGCCTAGGTGGCATGAGTGGCAGGAGTGGCATGAGTGGCAGGAGTGGCAGAAGTGGCATGAGTGGCAATATTGGCGTGGCGAGTTCACCATCAGAATGTCGGTAACGTCGAAGCACCACAACAAAACTAGAAGAAAATACTGCAAAAAAATCACTGAGTGCTGTAAATAAAAATAACACTAATCAAGAATAAAATTGACGCTAATCAGACACTAAAGTTAGACTTGACAAAGCACATGCAAACTGGACAAACTTTTGCCAAATAATAATTGAAATTGACATGTACGGTATATTTAACACCTTCATAGTTCTCACGAGATCAAGATAACATTATAAATATTATTACAATAAGGACACAAAAAGCTTATATAGCTTGCACGTCCCGGGAACTGCAAGAGAATACATTAGGTTTTACTTGACATAAGTAACTACAGACTCGATCGTCCTCCATGCCGCGAGCTGCGTAACTTAACGCATTAAAAAAATCCCATTAGTAGCGAGGAGCAAGAAGTCCTCGATAGTTTACTAAAAAATTCTTGAGACTATCACGATTATTCGACTAGAAAAGAAACGGGTTTTCCTGGTAACACAGTTACGTTTATATACTGCGATCTCGAACTCAGCAGACAGTACGAAGACTAGGTCTTAGTTACGCACCTTGGGCCATACTTTCAAAACTCGCTAAGTGAACGTAAGTACTTACGCTCTATTTTCTTGTCTATGATTGGGGGATTTTGCTTGAAAGGCCGACAATGATTGGCTGATGAACTTACGATCTCTTAACTTTTTTTGAAAGTACAGAACCTTATTGCCACGCACATATTGATCGGCATTAGGAACCACGCTGCAGATGAAGCTAGAGGCTAAAGAATTTAATGAGAAATGCGCTCGCGGAATGCTTTTGTGAGATATAACTCGCCGAAAATGAGATTTTACGAAATTTCCTATCTATGTTGTAAATCACGACACAGGTTGTAAATCACGACACAGGTTGTAAATCACAACACAGGTTGTAAATCACGACACAGGTTGTAAATCATAAATCACGACACAGGTTGTTAATCACAACACAGGTTGTAAATCACGACACAGGTTGTTAATCACGACACAGGTTGTAAATCACGACACAGGTTGTAAATCACGAAACAGGTTGTAAATCACGACAGGTTGTAAATCACGACACAGATCGCAAATCACAGCACAGGTTGTTAATCACGACAAAGGTTGTGAATCACGACACAGGATGAAAAAATTTCCCCGCATTCCGTAAGAGATATGAGTGAAATATCTGACGGCGAAATTCAAATCGTAATTCGTCGCGATTGCCGAAGAGATTTTGAACACCAAAAGTTCTGGCAGAAAAGGCGTAGTTTCAAGTGCAGTCTAAAAAAAGTTTCTGCAAGATTGGGGCGTTCGATCAAAATTCTTACTTACTCCGGTTAAGTACGGGAAATCCCTGTAATTGTTGGAAAGTTTTCATACAGCATGACCCTTTGAAAAATACAAATTCTAACGCAGCCAATTTGAAAGAAATTGATTCAGACAGAATCGCAGATGAAGGATTGTGATTTGAAGAGTAAGAAAAATACGTTTTTTCACATCAAATTAGGAAACGGGAGAATGGAATCATCAGTCGGTTGGCCACCACGCGGTAGACTGGCAAACGAGATCGCCAAAGAGTATCGTATCAATGAAACGAAGTTGCGCATTCAACATGAGAATTACAAATTGTCTACAACATTAACCAAATATAAATAATTAGAGACAGAAAGTGCTTTTAGCCTCCAAATCGCCCACAGAGAACAAATGAGAACCTTCGTTCAATGATAAAATAACTTGAACAAGTAGATTGTGCAACGTCCTTCCCTAGTAAAGCAATCGGACAATACAAATACATAAAAATTTATTAAAATAACTGTTGCTATCAATATGCATGAATACGAGGATTTCCTAACAATACACTTATTACCGCATGTTTATCTATCAACCACCAAACTCCATGGAAAAATTGTAGGAATTTTCTGACATTGAACAAAGTAAGATTATTTTTGCATGCACACTTGCAGCTCTAACAAATGACCTTTGAACACATCACACCCTGTAATACAGAACATCTCATGCCTGAAGATGAAAATAATAGAGGAAATATACTCACAAGTATCAAGGTTCTTCTGGAGCTGCCGTGAGACTCGGTTCCTCGCGTCGTTGAACTCGAAGTGGATGCCGACGCGCAGCAGCGTGTTGTTCTCTTCGATGAGGTTAGTGAGCTGCATCTCGATCTTGTTGCCCAGCACTCCTTGTTGCTGAAATGCCATAACGGTTAATACACGATTAGAAAAAACGGTGAAAAAACGGTCCCACTGCCGTTCTAGTGGCCGGTCGTCCCGTGAAAATAAACTGTTTCGCCGTTTTTATCAGATGTTTTACGAATTTCTAGTGTTAAATTAGAATAAAAACGACGACACAGTGTTTCTTTTCACGTGCCGACCGGCCACTGAAATGCCGGTATTACCGTTAACGGTAATTTTTCTAACAGTGTAACATATGCAAAATAACACGCTTTAAAATTGAAATACGATGTTACTAAATTAGGAATAAATGCCTTGCACTTAAATTCATACTGCACAGATTAGAGAAGTGCGTAATTTGAAGCGCTAGTAAATTGATGTCAGAAATAGCGATGGGATGTTGATGCACTGCTTCGACCTATAGAAGATAAAAAAATCATATTCTCAGTTGAGAGAGCGGAGAGCAGGTGCGGTTAAGGAGCGGGGCACTCAGGTGCTGTCACGTGAATGTAATCATCTAACAAGCTCATTAAGCATGTTAAGCCTGATAAACATGTTAAGCCTGGTGAGCATGTTACATAAGTCTGCTTTTATTAGGTACTACTGTCCACACGGCAGCCACGAAGGAGCCAGTTCAGCCCTTGCTGACCTGGTTGGCAAGCCTGACTTCCTCGACTGACCTGGTTGGCAAGCCTGACTTCCTCGACTGACCTGGTTGGCAAGCCTAACTTCCTCGACTGACCTGGTTGGCGAGCCTAACTTCCTCGACTGACCTGGTTGGCGAGCCTAACTTCCTCGACTGACCTGGTTGGCGAGCCTAACTTCCTCGACTGACCTGGTTGGCGAGCCTAACTTCCTCGACTGACCTGGTTGGCGAGCCTAACTTCCTCGACTGACCTGGTTGGCGAGCCTAACTTCCTCGACTGAATGCATTTTGTTGAGGGCCTCCATGACTCGCACCACGCCCGGCGGGGTGATGTTGTTCGTCTCCAAACTGAATACAACAAAATCAGATTATTTGTATGAACATTGAAGACGCATGACAAAGATGAAGGGTTGGTAAAACAGGGAGTCCTAGTGTTCAGAAAAAAACTACTACTCGAAATAATTTATCTTTTCAAACTGTGAAATATATGAATTTGATGCAAAATAATAATATTTCAGGTTTGGAAAAATTTCAGAAACATTTCCAGGCTGAAGTGACAAGGTTGTCGTAAATTCAGAGAATACAAGCTTAATATCTGACAAAATAAAGTTAAGTGAAGTATAATATTCATTTCATATTCAATTGTATACTAATTAAAGTTTAACATCCTTCTCAAACAGCCTTTAGACCACAAAACTGTCTTGAGCTAGCGCAGCCTCTTCTTCTGGACAAGGTCAAAAGTGGTTCGGCCTTCATTAAACTACAAAGTCTTCAATATTATAATACTACCGAGTTCAGCTACAACAATAACAAGGCAAAACAAGGTTTAATATTCAATAATGAGGTAGAATATTAGTGATAAAAGTGCGTGTAGACCACACGACGCACTTGAGGGTGCGGAGTGTGTTGTTCTGTGCGAGAGCAGACGTGAGGGCGTCGAGGTGTCTGTCAGAGAGGCCGGTGTTGGCCATACTCAGCGTCTCCAGGTGACTGTTGCTGCCCAGAGCGCCGAACAGCCTGCCCAGCTGCTCGTCCGTCATTTTCTGCAAACAAAAAATATTGTTAGACTTACAAAATCTTTTAAAGCTTAGCTCAAAACTTGTATTCAATATTGTAGAGTTACAACATCTTTTAAAGCTTACCTCAAAGTCAACTTATATTCAATATTACGTATTAGACTTACAACATCTTTTAAAGCTTAGCTCCTGTTCAACTCGTATTCAATATTGAAGAGTTACAACATCTTTTTAAGCTTAGCTCCAAGTCAACTTGTATTCAATATTGTAGTGTTACAACATCTTTTAAAGCTTAGCTCAAAGTCAACTTGTATTCAATACTGTAAAGTTACAACATCTTTTAAAGATTAGCTCATATTCAACTCAAAGCATCAAACTATTAAAGCATTGATACAAATAAAGATGAAATGTCGCACATCTTGGTTGCATGAAGATATTTTAAAGTAAGCCATTGCAAGATGTGAATTAACAAACTTGGTCCTAATATTACCAGGTATGGAAGTTACTTTCATAATAGGAATGTTTTTAACGCTAGAGTTTGTAAAGAACAGTTACAAATAATGCTAACACACAGCTCACTAATATTGTCGAGGTAGAGTACAATTTCACAATTCTATACACTCACTCTAATATTGTTAAGGTTGAGTTCCTTGAACTTGGCGTCGTCGCTCTTGAGTCTCTTGATGCTCTCCTCAGGATCGGTGTCGTTGGGAGGCTCAGCGGGCAGAGGCTTGAATTTTGTGGCTTTAGTGATGCCGCCCCAGCCCACGCCCACCGGCCGCCCCTTGTTCAGTAGCGACGCGTGGTACTGGTCCTGGTTCATCATTGAGTGGAAGCCCAAGATGGCTGCACACACAACATATTCGTTACTATTTACCCCTGGTCCTGGTTCATCATCGATTGGAAGCCCAAGAAGGGATGAGGTGTGACCACAGATAATGAAGTGTGTGAGGAAGGGATGGGGTATGACCATAGATAATGAAGTATGCAGGTGTAGGAATGAGGTATGCAGGTGGAGGAATGATATGTGACCATAGATAATGAGGTGTGCGGATGAAGTACTGAGGTATTATCATAGATAATGAAGTGAGTAAATAAGGGATGAGGTACGACCATAGATAATAAAATCAAGTATGCAGGTGCAGGAATGAGGTACGACCATAGATAATCAAGTATGCAGGTGCAGGAATGAGGTACGACCATAGATAATCAAGTATGCAGGTGGAGGAATGAGGTACGACCATAGATAATCAAGTATGCAGGTGGAGGAATGAGGTACGACCATAGATAATCAAGTATGCAGGTGGAGGAATGAGGTACGACCATAGATAATCAAGTATGCAGGTGGAGGAATGAGGTACGACCATAGATAATCAAGTATGCAGGTGGAGGAATGAGGTACGACCATAGATAATAAAGTATGCAGGTGGAGGAATGAGGTACGACCATAGATAATCAAGTATGCAGGTGGAGGAATGAGGTACGACCATAGATAATCAAGTATGCAGGTGGAGGAATGAGGTACGACCATAGATAATAAAGTATGCAGGTGGAGGAATGAGGTACGACCATAGATAATAAAGTATGCAGGTGGAGGAATGAGGTACGACCATAGATAATCAAGTATGCAGGTGGAGGAATGAGGTACGACCATAGATAATCAAGTATGCAGGTGGAGGAATGAGGTATGTCCATATATGACATGCACTAGTCACCTGCGAGGTCGACGATCTCATCCTCGGTGGCGATCTCGAGGACGGAGTTGAACTCCTCGTCGAGGTCGACCTCAACCTGGTCGATGGTTGGGTCGTCGGGGTCCTCGCTCACTGGAGGGGGCGGCGGCACCCACTGCAACCACAGCACAATATTATCTCAGCGCACTCACACACTAACTTAACAATAGGCAATAATAATAATAATAGGCAATAACAATTCAGCCTTTAATGCTATTCGTACTAATAATAATAGATAATAATTAATTACCAGCCTTTAATACTATTCGTACGTAATAGCCTTGTCACGTAATTCGTACGTAATAGCCCTTGTAAGGCACCAGCTCGGGCCGGTCAACATTTTTAAAATGTACTACTTTAATCACGCAATTAAAGTTCAGCGTGTTGAAGACAAGTTCAGACCTTCTTGCCTCTGACGGTACCGGGCACGTAAGGCACCAGCTCGGGCCGGTCAGGTTCGTTGATGGCCTGTTCATTGATGTGGTCGATGAGCTGTTTCCTGTCCAGCGGTCCCGTGCTCTCCTTCTCGCACTTGTAGCCGCACCGCTCGCTGGGCGGTACCAGGGAGTCCTGCACCACAGTCACCAATTATTTATTCATTCATTCATTCATTTATTTGTCGCCGAATTTATTCTACTGCACACCAGTACCAACAGGGGGAAATAAAAGTACAGTTGTACCTATATATAATTTGGACTGAAGGAACTGAAAGTGAACTTTATAAATTAACTGATCATATTGAACCGAGCAAGTGACCCAGCTGGATCGATGTTGAATCTATGAATCGTAATGCCTATAATTCCACTCCTGCTGCATTCACAGACTCATAAGCAATGATTCGCCGTCGATGTGTACAAAGTTATTTTAACATATTTTCGGTCTCACTTCCAATGTAATGCGAAAATATTCGGGTCGTATACGTGTGTGTATGTAGCATGATAAACAAATTACTGCCACACGCAAGACAGTCATAAGTTAATGTAGCCCTGTATAGAGAGTCCGGCTAAGTCACAATGAGTCACTAGTGAGGCCTTCATGTTCTTTGCAATGGGTCTTTGATAAGGATATATTGTCGCACGTCAGAGATAATGAGCAAATATAACATTTTCATGCACACTTACAATGTAACATGATCCGTGGCCCTGATGATATGCACGCTGCGGATCATTCTACGTATAATCAAGCTTGGAGCTTCAAAAGCACATTGTCCTAGTAGTAATCACCATCATACATGCTAATCTTATAAGGACACAATTCCACCAAACCTGCACCATGAAGTCTACGGACACTCACGTCAGGGTCCACGTCACCGGCGAGCAGCTCGAGCTCCTCAGGGGAGAGCTGCTCCAGAAGAGCGTCGACGTCCACCTCGTCGTACTCTGTCAGGTCCTTCCCGAACAACTTGCCGGACGTCATCTCCTGCGAATACATTAACACGTGGTAAAACTGCACTTCAACATGTTTATTTCTTGGTCACGTGAAGGAAAAAGTAGACACATTTGATAGGTACTTTCTAAAGAACTTGCCAGAGGTCATCTCCGCAATACATCAAAACATTGTAAAACGGAGCTGAAATGAGCTGTTATAGTCACTTCGATAAAAAAATATACTTTTGATACTTAATTAAGCGATACTCGGACGTAAGATCCTGCTAAATCGTCAACACGTTGTAAAACAGAGCTTCAGTAAGTGGTGATCGGAGTCACTATATAGGAAGCGTTCCATCATATTTTTATGTCACCAAGAAGCCAACCTCATGAAAAGTTACACACACAAATCTAACTAGAGCTTTGAGGTACCACAGGTTCTCATTTCCCGCTCGGAGGAAACATCGCCTGACCTAAACAGCCACATAGTTTGACAAGCCTTTTGTTGAGTGGTAATAAAAACATAGGCTTCGCCGCTATATACACAGCACCTTTCTCAGCGTCCATAAAACCATCACAGTACTACTTAATTCTTTTACTATACTAGCTCCTGTTGTCTTGCACCGGCCAGAAGTAGGACAATATTTACAATAATCTCAACCGATCCATAGACACTTGAGGCCCGAAGGCGTTAAGTGGAGCAACTGAAAGAACTACAGGGTGCGGCGCGGGAACTTACTTATTTGAATTGCGCGCCACGTGGCGGCCATTAGTCCTAGGAAGGTGGCGCCATGCGCAATATGGTGCGCGGGCTATGAAGTTTTTCGTCCACTCAGTTCAGTTGCGACCATGCAGTGGTCGAGAGAGGAGCGCGCGTTCGCAGTCTCTGTGTACTTTTCTAGTGGTACATTACACTACAAGACCATTAGGTCATTCGTGGCGAGAAGTAAGACCTTTACACATTACACTACAGGACCTTTATGACATTCGTGGCGAGAAGTAAGACCTTTAAACATTACACTACAAGACCTTTATGACATTCGTGGTGAGAAGTAAGACCTTTACACATTACACTACAAGACCATTAGGACATTCGTGGCGAGAAGTAAGTGCGTTAAAGCTGTTATAATTGGCGGCATTAAAGCAGTCGCTTTAAGTCGCCATGGGCCTATTTCTTCAACGCCGACACTTCTATTCTATTCTATATCTCAGCAGCTCAGGACGGAACGGAAGCAAGTGCAAGCAAGCCTCCTGTAGGCGCCAAGACGATGAGGTCAGCGACCGCACATCAGCAATGCAGGGCCGCTGCACTAACTGCTACAGCAGCAACTCCACCCCAGCCGCGCCCATGAAACCATCCGTCTAGTCTCTCGTCTTGATATTCTCGTCTTGATATTCTCGTCTTGATATTCTCGTCTTGATATTCTCGTCTTGATATTCTCGTCTTGATATTCTTGTCTTGATATTCTCGTCTTATAAGCAAAGTATCATGAATAATATTCAATTTTATTCACAATGCTAGCAGGCCCAAACCCTAGGATGCAATTTTACTGTCCATGCAAAAATCTTAATTCTAGCAGAAATTAAAATCAACACTTTCCTTACAGGGTTGCAAAGTTATGACGTTAATTCTTGATCCTATGTATATCAAGTATGTTGCACGGATCAATAACCCTTGAGGGGACAGTTATCACGAATCCATTTATCTCAAATTGTGCTAATGGTGATAAAACTAATGCATTTGAATAGAAGAAAAACCTAGAGAAATCATATTTTATATCAAATATATAACTCCCATTTATTTCCATTGTGAAATATGGAATAACTATTCGTCTAAATTTTAAAATACCAATTTGATAATCGAATTCCAATTTTCGATCTAATCCATTCCTCCCAGTTTGGCAATACCTCACTATTCTCCCACCAAGAATAAAGTTTCAGGTCCAGCGGAAATATTCCGGCACAATAGGTATCCTAAAAATAGGCGCCCTACAAGCCCTTATATGAAGTCACCGTGTCAGGCTTGCAGCACGCAAACTTCAACAAATAAATGCAATACTAGAAGCACCCTATGTAGCCCTGGGGGAGAGAGTTAAGCCCAGTGTTGTGAAACGTTGCAGTGAAATGACACTACCGTAAACTTGGCAATAAAATCTGTTTGATACTTGATAAAATCTGTTTGAAATCTGATAAAGTAATTATAAAACGCGACCAATCCGATTGTAAAAATTTGGGAAAATCAAAGCAATTTTCAATTAGACCTATAGAATCACGCAAACGTGGTAATGAGAAAAAAAATTTTAGGCAACAATGAATATAGTTAACATATTGGGACGACAACTTAATACAGGCATGATATTTCAAAAGCTGAACGCCAATTTACAAATGTTACTGTAATTGTTGCAACATTCATCCTAACCTCGAACCTCATTTCATCAAACTCAATAATTAATGAAGTAGCGCGCTGAAAATATTTATGATGTATGTCGTATGAAAATAGACTTGATCAAATCGTAGTGACGTTTCTAGCCTTCGCGATACACGTGTTAAGTGATGCTTGAAGTACAGCCTGAAGCGTGTGAGCGCAGCTTGTGCAACAGTATAAGCGATCACAAAACAACGAAACTAAGGTAACTCTTAGCTTTATGTATCACTAAAAGCGTCTTGAACAAGCTTCAAACACGGCAACGCGTAAATAATCAAACTTACAAGCTTAGAACAACAATCGTGAACACGAAACGTTGGCAACAAACGGTATCACGTGCATTTGGTTGACCGGAGACGCGTCCCTCTTAGACACCAAAGGGCGTGGCGCGTCGCCATGGCAACGCGACGGGACAATTTAGCCTGGTTTGACGGCTCGATTCCATGCTACGAGCGTGCCACGAGTGACATTGTTGCGTGAGTGAAGGATGGAATCCACCTGTGTTGTGAAGGATCGATGGATGGAATCCTCCTGTGTTGTCAAGGACCGATGGATGGATGGAATCCACCTGTGTTGTCAGGGCATGATGGATGGAATCCACCTGTGCTATCAAGGTATGATGGATGAAATCCACCTGTGCTATCAAGGACCAATGGATTTCAGTCCACTTGAGGTTTCAAGGACCGTAGGATGGAATCCATTTGTGTTTTCAAGGGCCGATGGATGCAAGTCCAGCTGTGGTTTCATGTTGCGGGATCGCATCCGAGAACATTTCCGCATGCCAGTTCGGTGAGCCGAGCAAGCCGCGAGTCGTGGCCAGGGGCCATACTTTCAAAACTCGCTAAGTGAACGTAAGTACTTAAGCTCTATTTTCTTGTCTATGATTGGTGGATTTGGCTTGAAAGGCCGTCAATGGTTGGCTGATGAACTTACGGTCTCTTCACTTTTTTCGAAATTATGGGCCCAGGCCGCTCGCATTGAACGCAGCACACCTTATTTCGCGCTGTTATTATACGTTTCATAAGAGCTCATAGCTCAGAAAGTTTCTAGGTTCTACAAGAACTAGCCACGAGCTTTCCCAAACCTTTTGTTGAAGGATAGGGAACAAATAATTAATTAATCGAGTGCAGGCAGAAATGAAACGCTACAATTGATCAAAATAAATGTGCTAATATACTTCATTTTCTATTTACTTTTTTCTATTAAACGTCTGTATCTGTATTTTCATAGAATTTATTAAACGTTAAAAAATTAATTTTAATTAAAAAAAATTAAAAGCAATCATCAATCCAGAACCATAGTTGAGTACCTATGCGAGATAATCATGATAGCTCGCTACTACTTTAATGCTTACAAATAGTACGAGCAAATGAAGCGAGTGTCCGTGGAAAATCAGCATCGATGGCAGGAAAGCAACCTTCGGACTTGATATTGCGATACAAAACTTCCTACAATTCACAAATTGACATTATACTATATAATGGCAAAGCATCCGAGAGAATTGTTGCGGTGAAGCACTGCATTGTAATGAGAGTACAATAGACATACGTAACATTTTCATTGAAGTGGTTAACATAAGAAGAAATTATATCTGGTGTTTACGTTCAGTTTTTTATACCTGGTCGCGATAGACTTACAAAAACAAAATTGTAACCATCAATTGTTTTATATTAGGTACCTATAGTTAAAAACGAAGAACGATATTACGCGCAGAAGAAATTCCTCGTAGAGCTGGAAGCCAACAAAATTCCTTAATGTATTGGATTTTTACAGGAGTATTTTTCCAATTTTAATGAATAATTTCGTTTTCAGTCACAGAAATTTGTTTCGAGAGCATAAAAAGAAGCACAGGAAACGTGCCCTGGTGGTGGCGACACGATGTACGCGTTGATTTATTGAACACGCGCGGCGTGGGCGAGGAGATCGCGTGTGATCGAGGTCGGAGTCAACCATGCGCGGAGCAGTTTTACCACACAAATATCGTGGCGGTAAATTAGAATGCCGGTTTAAATTAGCAAATATTAGCGAAAATAATATTATAGGGCCAATATTTCTGCTAACAACAGAAAAGTAAGAAAAACTCTCGGAATAAGTTACAGAGCCAGGTTCTAAACTTGTCACTATACGGTATTTCAGAGTACGATAAATGAGTGATGAACCACCGATATATATAATGAAGTAAGACCAATAAAAATATCGACTACGGTATTTTAATTACTCGGGAACCACAATGGCGATGGCAGGCAAATAAAAATCGCCTCGTGTGATTTAGAGGTGTGTCAACCAACGGGAACACCAAAGGAAAATAAACAATAGCCCAAAAAATAAGATTTATACGTACGTTCCTGTATGATTTCAAGAAGCAAAGTACATGTTAATTATAAAATTTGTCGGACACAGAATACCTCAAAAACCCATGCCTAAAAATAATTACATATGAACATCTAAGAAAACTACATCAACATTAGAGAAAACCAAACATCTTTTCGATAAATTTCTGGAATAAAATTGTAAATGATTCTTGGCACTAGAGATCCCATCATTATCATTCGAGGATTGGGAAAATAATGTTTTATAAACACCGTGTTCAAAAAAATACAGAAAATTTCTAGTTGCGTACCATTATC